ATATGATCTAGTGGCTTTTGTAAATTGTGAAGTAGCATTAGAAAAAGTGATTAGTTTTAATTTTTGCGTCAATGGGCTTCTCTTTTCTATTGCTTGGGTATTTTTGGGTAAAGGGTAGAGAGCTATTCGACAATGTTTTCTTAGCTCATTTAGGTATGAGAATTTGCCATTGAGTACTGGTGGATAGATATGGAATTGTACAATTATGGTTCAGCACAGATGAGTAATTATATGTTAAAAGAAGCCTTTTGCGAGCCGCATAGACTTCAATTGGCATAAGTGTTTAGTACTAATAAAATCACTTTTAAAAAAAAAATTATTGGGTACATACTAACGAAGTGAAATTGGAACAAGCAAATCACCCCCAAGAAGCTCATACTTGATGGCATGCAAATACAAACATTATGAACAAAAAAGAAGGTAACACATGTGAGCAAAGAAATGGGAAAAAAGAGGGGAGAGGGAGGGTTTTGATAAGAGAGGGAATTCTTATTATATTTGTTCATTTGAGTGCTATTAAGGTTAATTAAATAAGATGGACGGTTAGTCAATTAATAATGCATTGAAAGTATGAACTAGAAGTTAGTCAAAACTATAGCTAATTAACTAATTAAAATTCTATCTCGAAGCAATTAAAATGCTCCCAAGAAGATTAAAAAACTCTTAAGGTTCATATTAATCCATTAAGGCAACAAGTTAAGCGAATTGAACATGTATAGAGTCATGGTAAAGATTTGATGTGTTCAATTGACCACTTCAATCAGCCAAAAAATTTTTGTCAAGTGATCAACATGATGAATGAAATCCAAGGATTCAACTAGTTAATGGGCTATGAAGAACATTAAGCAATTAACTTACACTACAGAAAGTTCTGAGCAGATCATGCGCAATCATATTTTTTATCAAATCCTAACATTCTAAAGGGTAGATTTAGTTCAAACGGTCAAAGTGGAAAGATCGAAATTAAAAAATTTGAGCTGATATTCTAATAACTCTTCTATTACATTTGTTCATAGTGCTTGACTCCTACTTTTTATTGTAAATTCATTTGGGTTGTTTTGATGTATTTAGATAAGTTAGTAATTAGTTACATTTTCGTTCAAACACTCATTGATTGTGATATTCAATGTGGGAAGTATTTGTTGAGTTTCTATAACATGAGATCTCAACTTTTAAAAGATTGGTAGAAACTATTAATTTTTTAATTTAATGAATTTGGATTTAAAAATTTTTAACAAGTATTGTCAAGGTAATAGATGTAAGTTGAGAGAGACCGAATAATTATAAATTACCTTGCAGGCCTTTTATTACTCAATAAAGTACTTATCATTTTTTGTCATTCAGTAAATTCCCTCTATTCTTGAAATTCCTAGCACTACGTAGTTTGGGATCAAGAAGTTAAAGTCCACATCCAATATTAATTTTGTCAAAAAATAAAGTGTTTTTGTTGGTATTGTAAACTATGTGAAATTTTAATTAGCTAATGGAAGTTTCAGCATGCAAACGAAACTGCCTTTTTTTTTTTTTTATTTCATCCAAATCTCTTGGAGGGTTATTCTCCTTTATCAATAATGAGAAGTGCTAGAATTTTTCTAATATATTGTGATTATTTTTTAAAACAAATAAAACTCCTGTTAAACAATAACTTGCTGTTCAGTTAAAGGGCTAACTTAGTCCTGAAAGAGAGACAGAGGTCGGGGCACGCTATTGAATTTCCTTTGGTTGGTTTTGCAGGTCCTTCTAGCATAGCAAATTCGTAAGAGACGCACGATATGCGTTGGTAATCGGGCGAGAGTAGACAGAGAGGAGCTTTGTTGATTTTATCTAGATATATAGATATAACTTATTGAGTAAATTGTCTATTCTGGATGCCTCTTTTCTTACTGATGATGTCCAGCAATTTTCTATTTTCATCTTCTTCTTTCGTTCGAGATTTGGACTGAATCTGTCCAGATTTGGTCGGATTCAGATCTTAAATTTTCTGTCTTCCTCACGGTGCATTCACATGTACCCCTTGCCTCGTCAACAATTTGGCGTAACAACCACGACTAGTGTGGCCATTTTGTGGACATGCACACATATAAAGGGAGGAAAATTTGTGAACAATTTGCACAACTTGAGTTCATCAAACCAAGGGCTTGTGAGAAAAGATGGGTTCGCTGGGCAGAACCAAGAACATGTGCCCCTTTACTGCAGCACTCAATTCAAGATTACTGCCAGGGGAACGTCAGGTTTTTTTTTTCTTTGTTATTTATTTCTACTTCTTTGTATTTTCTCGACAAGTAAATTTCGAGACACTTATTGCAGCAGAACAAAGTTGTTCTTTTGGCCGGCAAGCAGAACTTGTTGATAATCTATTAGAATATTTATCTGAAGTCGCTATTCCAATAACATTATATATCTCTATTTTTAAGTTTTCGGCCAACACTCTTTAAAATTATAAATTCAGTAGAAATTTACGATGTTAAAATTCAATAATTTAGTTTAGAAATTCGTGAAATTTGCAATTGGAAACAATTAAATGAAAATTAAATATGAAAACATATATGTATACATGAAATTTAGTATTGTTCGTTTTTTATTTACATGATAGTTCCTTTTGTATCAGAAGAGAAGAAAGTTGAAAAAGCAGGGCAGCAGAATGATGAGAGGGTTGACAGCACAGATGGAAGAGGTTGCTTCGGAACAACAAAGGAGGAAAGAGGAGCAAAGACAACTAAAAGACAAATTTAAAGCCATAGAAGCTGAATGTGACAAACTCCGCAAAGAGACCGCCATCGTAATACAGCAGAGTGCCATCACCCAAATCCGGCTCGCTCACATGTTTCAAATCTTAAGAGCAAGAGAAAATAGAGACTTTACCAAAGCAGCTCAACTTGCTCAATCTCTTCGGTATTTCTCTTCGTAATCTTAAGGAGGAATGAACTCATGACTTAATGAAAACTTTTGATAGCTAATTAATATTATACTTTTTTTTTTCTTCTCATCTCTTCCTTGTAGTGAACTTATAATGAAACAGAAGGCATAGTTGGGAGTCTTTGGCGGTGGGTTGCTTCATTCCGGAGTTGCAAATAAATTTCTTTGTTTTATTCTCAATTTTTTCACTTTCTTGTTGGATTTTAGCCATCGTAGACTGTGGTAGTAATTTATAGTTTATGCAAATATATATTGAAACAATAATCATTACGTGAAATTATAATAATACAAATAGTAGGTATTTCTATATGCGTTTTTCTTGTTATCTTTTCTGGTGTTTGCGTGCAAGTATTTGTAACGTATATTGAAACAATAAACTGTACTTAAAGTATAATAATACAAATGTATATATATATATATATATATAATTAGAGATCTACTACGCACTATGTTAAAGTCTTAGTGGAGATTGAGTTTGGGTATCATGGAAGGGAAAAAAAAAAGAACTGATTCTGTTCTTTTAATGAGCAGAAAAACAAATCTAGCAGAAAACATTATAATGAGGTTTATATACAAGCAAGGGTGGCTCAATATATTTAAAGGCCTGAAGTGTTTAAATATTTAAATGAGATTTTTTTATTGAAATTAAAAAAAATTAACATTAGTTGGAGATCATTTAAAACATATTACGTTCATTGAAAATAGAAAAAATAACTGAGAATTATTAACATAATGGGAATTGAGAAGTGATAAAAAATAAATATTTACTAGGGACATAATAAAATTATGGGACCTATTAAATTGTGGGGTCTAAAGTAAGGGTTTCGATGGCTTTATGCTAAAGCCGACCTTGTATACAAGCTGAAAGAGAACCCTACTACTAAAATAATTACAAGAACAACTCTATCTCTGATCCGTAATTAGAATTAACTCATATGTTTACAAATATCAACACATCCCCTCAAGATGAGCATGTATATATATTTTCAATACTCATTTTTCCAAGTAAGGTACAAAGTTGAGCTGGTTGCAGTGCTTTTGTAAAAAATATTTGCAAGTTACAATTGTGTGAATTGTGTGGGAACATAGTTTGGACCCATTTTGCCATTCAATACCTTTTCTTTTATGAAATAGCAATCTAATTCAATATGCTTTGTCCTTTCATGGAAGACTGGGTTCCTACATATGTGCAAAGTTGATTGATTGTCACAAAGTAACTGTACTGCTTTAGCACTTTTTATGCCAAAGTCTTTAAACAAATATAAAAAACACATAATATTTCACAACAGGTGGAAGCCATTGCTCTATATTTTGCCTCTATGGAGCTTTTGGCCACCACAATCTGTTGGTTTGATTTCCAACTTATAAGAGAAATACCAAGAAATATGCCAAAGCTTGTGATAGATTTTCTAGTATCTTGACAACTGGCTAGTCATTATTAGAATAAGTTCTAATGTCAAATTTGCATTTGAAGATAATAGCATACCTTGTCTTGTTGTACGTTTAGGATTACTTAAAACCCTATGTGCAACTTGCATATGAACAATGGATGGCTTATCTATGAACTAAAACAAGACTAGCAGTGTAAACATAATATTTAGTCTGGTAATAGACTTACCAACCAATTATTTGTAGCTTGCTGAGTTTTCTATCAAGGGATCATCGCTGCACCTAGACATTTTTTTACTGTAATCAATTGGAGTTAGTGCCAGTTCGGAACCAAGAAACCCATATTCATCAAGTAAATCCAATGTGTAATTCCTTTAGCAAACTAATATGCCCTTCACTGATCTAGCAATCATCTCCAAGCCCAAGAAATATTTAGGATTTCCCAAATCCTTTAGCTTGAAATTGAATCCAAGTGTTGTCTACCTTCATATGAAATTTTTACAAAGAAGCTAGCTACCAATAAGTCATCAACATAACCTAAAAGAGCTAAAAGTTGTTGCTAGTAATTATGGTAAATAATGAGTAATTTGAATTTGATTGAGCAAAACCAAACTGAAGTAGTAAATCTATAAGCTTTGAATTCTTTTAGCTCTAAAATTGGCTTTAGTTTTGAAATGACAAAATTCAATGATCTAAATATTCTTGTGCGCCTAAAAGAAATGTTTTTGAAATGGAAGAACTTTCTTTCAAAAGTTTTTAAAGCTATTTGTGGAAAATACAATCATTTGAATGCTTCAAAAACAAGTTTGAGCAAAGAAAAATTGATTTTTATAAGCGAGGTAAGGATTCCTTGAGAGGTAGAAAACTATATTTCTTATTTGTAATAGGAAGGAATCAACTTGTCAAGAAGAGAAGCATCAATCATCAAAAAACTAAAGGCTACTCGATTGGAAAGATCGATCTCTCAAGAAGTAAAAGGTTGATTCCTATTAAGGCAGAAGTATAAAGAAGAATGATTGGACAAAAAGAACTAACTTCTCTAGTCTCCAATGATCTATTCCTTAAGGCCAAATGAAGAAAGGTCATAACCTTGTAAAAGAAGCTAAAGAGGGAGATTTTGAGCGGAAACCAAAATTTGAAATTTGAAAGTAGCGTTCAAAGGTCAAAAGAGCGTTAGGATTGATGCTAAAAAACAAAGAGAATCAACTACTTGGTGGAGCAATGATTGATTCTTTAAAAACAAAAAGCATCAAGATTGATGCTAAAGCATAAAGAATAAACTTGTGAAAAGTAAAACGATCGATTCCTTGGAAGCAAAATGTCCCAAAGTATAGAAGAGTTGACTGCTCAAATAGGCAATGATTGATTCTTGACTACTAACAAACTTGATTCAAGTGGCCCCAACGTTTTGAATTTTTGAATCCCCTTTATTTTTAACGAATAGATTTTGAGAGGGGCTCTAAATACCTTCAAAAACTCCATTTCCACCAGAAGAGAGAAAAGAGCTTCATCCCAAAAGGAGAGAAAAGCTTTAGTTCTCAAGTTCATATCTTTCTCACTTTATATATCTTCTTAAAAACATATCATCAACCTCGAGCTTAAGTACTTTGATATTTGCTTCATTCTCTTGTACTTCAAGCCCTTCTATCTGCCTAACTAAAAGCACCACACTTTGTAATCCATTGTTGCAAGGTTATACCTCCTTGAAGAGGTAGATAGGTTATACTTGAGCCTTGAAAAAATAATCTTGGTTATACCCCCTTTGCAAAAGGTAGATAAGTTGTGCTTTAACCTTGAAAAGGTAGTGACTTGCTGATAGGTTGTGTTTGATCATAAAATTGCACTTGGCTCGAAAGGTTAATCTTGACCCTAGTTGAGAAAAGTAGCATCTTTAGTGGAGTCAAACTCTTTGTGATGCCAAGGTCAAGGACGTAGGCATTGTAAGGCCAAACTTCTATAAAAATCGTGGTCGAGTGTTATGTTTCTTCTTTCCTCACTTTTGCTTGCCTTAACTATCTTTGCTTGCATTTATATTCTCGGTTGATCTTGTTTGGTGCTTAAAGTTTTAAGCTTTGATTGATATTAAGGAAGAGGTGAAATCTTTTATTTAAAATCCAATTCACCCCCTTTTCACCATGTATCACAAGCTTCTTTATCTAACAAATTTCACTGTCGACAAACTTGTTTCAAGCCATAGAGTGATTTTTGCAATTTACAAATAAGTCTAAAATATTTGTTGCATGCCCCCAAAAGACCATATGTCATGACCTAAACCTAAGGAGCCATGACTCATGAAAGGGTATCAATAGAAGTAACCTGCTTAACCCAAGCAAGCCTCTAAACAAATAAATCTAATTACTCAAATTTCATCATAGGACTCATCACAATGGTGTTAGGTATAAGCCCTGCAGCCAATCAAATTGCCTAAGGTTTATATCCTTAATCATGCAACAAGAAACTCATAACAAGTGATCAAAAGTTTTCCTTCATCAATAAGCAATTGAACATAGGCTTATTAAATGAAGTCCGAGGAATTGACATGCCTTGCAAGGGAATTATAAATTGTTACAATTATGAGATCCATATGTATGAAAGCATAATTCCTAAATTATTCCTAGTCAATATTTCATTGAGACTAGACATTAATGATGCTTATTGATGAGCACATTTAATGTTCCTTAGTTATGAAGTAAGCAACCGATCTCATAGGTTGAAGTATGGAGATACTTGGAATTAGAATGTAGGTACTTGTTTTGGAACAAGTTCATTGAACATGAGTTGCCATGAGGATTCAATTTGATATTCACTCAAGTGTCTATAAAATATTTACTCATGTGACAATCGTACAAGTGATCTTTAGAGTTGAGACACCAGATTGTCTTATATGAGGATTGCTATACTTTGATATCATCCTTCTAGGTCTTAACTAAGGATGCACAAACAGGATGTTATTAGGTATAGCATGAAACATATGAAGGCATATTGGTGCTCAAAAGAGGATTCACCATTCCAAGAGATTAAGGAGATGTGTCTTGATTCATCTTGCCTTGAATTAGCTTAATGAAGTCTTTGGCCAAAGCAAGAAGGACTTTGGAAAAGAAGTTTTCCATAATCCATGATAGCTAATTAGTGGTTGCAAGAACTAATACTAAAATATCAAGGAGTAGACACTACACCGCGCTCTTGAGATTTCTGAGACACTTGGTGAAGGGATTGAATTGCACTAAAAGACTGATCATTGAAAGGTTTAGTCAAACTGTCTTAACTTTTTTAACATTTAGGTGGAAAAGTTGAATTGCTAGATCCCACTCTTGGACTATGAACTTTAAATAGTTAATTTGATTAATGATAAATTTAAAGTAGTTTGATTATCTAATACAAAGTTTAAACATTTTATCTTAAGTTTATTTGAAGTTGCTATTCCAATAACATTATATATCTCTACTATTTAGTTTAAGCCAACACTTTTTAAAATTACAAATTTAGTAGAAATTTACAACATTAAAATTCAATAATTCAATCTAAATATTCATGAAATTTGCAATTGGAAACAATTAAATGTGAAAACTTATATTTATACTTGGAATTTATTATTGTTTGTTTTTTATTTACATGATAGTTCATTTTATATCAGAAAGGAAGGAAGTTGAAAAAGCAAGGCAGCAGTACGATGAGAGGGTTGATAGCACAGATCGAAGAGGTTACTTCAAAACAAGAAAGAAGGAAAGAGGAGCAAAGACAACTAAAAGACGAACTTAAGGCCATAAAAGCTGAATGTGGCCAACTTCGCAAAGAGATTGACCTCGTAATACACCAGAGTGCCAGCACCCAAATCTGGCTCACTCTCACGTTTCAAATCATAAAAGCAAGAGAAAATAGAGACTTTACCA